TGTAATGGAATGCCTTGGATACAAAATGAATGGCTATGAATACTACACCATCCTCAGGGTCGTCAATGCTCCACACGTACATCGGACATTCAGAAACCGTATCAGCCGCAATAAACTTATTTCCAAGGACACAACGGATCTCAAGAGCGTACTCCTCATCATCGTACGAGTTAGTGTTTCCAATGAATCTGCCGTCGAGATTGAACAATCTCACATTTGACTCCTGCGTTGTGGCGAGGAGGTATTTAGATTTTGTTCTCATACCCCTCCTTATCCATCTCAACATGCCGGACGAATGCAAGTTTGGTCTCGCTCATCCACGCTGCTGAGTAGGCAACATTGACCTCATCGTCATACATGCCGCATTTCAACTGTTTGATCAACTGGAAACCATCATCAGGGTTGTCAATGCTCCACAGGTACATCGGGCCTCCAACACTACACTCTTCAGACGCAATGAACTTATTGCCAAGGCAACGGATCCCAAGGGTGGGCTCTCGGGCATCGTACGACTTTGTTCCTCTGATGAATTTGCCATCGAGATTGAATAATCTAATATTTGAGAACTCCGATGTGGCAAGGAGCAATTCGCCGATGTAATCAAAGATCGATGATGAATCGTTTGGGTCCCAATCTTCAAAGTGTACACCAGGCACGTCAAAGTGTCTGATGCATTCCCCCGATTCAACAGTCCATATCTTCATGACGTTTCCACGATTGGCACTAATCACGATGCCGTCCCCAAGGTGACAGGAAATCATGTCATTGGCATCACTGACAATTGTCTGCTTACAGACACCACTCCGTGCATCCCATAATCGAATCTTACGGTCGCTGTAAGCACCTGCAACTGTCTTGTCAAGATAGTCCACGTAAGCCAGTCGGGTGTCATCAGAGGTGCTCTCAAAGACGAAACGAGATGTACCGTCTACAGCATTCCAGACCCGTATATCATTGTCAGCGCGCACCTCCCTATTAAAGTGCCAGTCCCCTGCAATATTAACAATGGTGTCACCATCGAAGTAGAGACAAGACACGGCCAGACGATGCCCCGACATGACTTGCAGCTGCTCTCCAGTCTGGGCGCAGTAGGTACGAATTGTACCATCAAGACATCCTGCAGCTATAATGCCATTCTTCATTTTCAACGCCTTATTTCCTTCACTTATTCCCACTTCGATGAGATGACTACGTTTTCCGCTGGTATCCCAGATATGCAAAGTATCATTTGAGAGAGCACCGGCAAGACTATTCCCTTCACCAGCTAGGCTATATGTACTCTAAAATCATCAGGTTCCGAGCTGGTATACGAAAAGTGCCTCTTGTAGCCAGCTAACTCAAACTGGAACGAGACAACGTGGTAACGATTGTTTTTCCAATTTCCTTCAAGATGTCGTGCCTTCATGTATATTTCCTTCCATCCGCATGTATTCACCAACCCTGGCCAGTTTGAATCAGTGACACTGCAGCCGAATCAAAGGCAAAGGTGACACCGTCACCAACGCCCCCATCCCCGCCATGTTGAGGTGATGAAGGTATGAACGGGGGTTCTTTACAAAGACCAACGACTGCATCAAACTTCTCCCATCGCTTCTCTCGGCAAAGAGAGCGCCATATAGAGCATCGTCATTTGTGGCTTCTCTCCAGGATCGATTACATAATGCTGTTCAATATGTGGATTGACACAAGCCTGTAACAGTAACGAGCAGTGCTGCTTTATTAAATACTCCAGAACGCATGGAACACAGGGATGGCTGGGCTAAAACTACGGTGCACTGTAATTGTCATGTGATCCGACTAATGCCATAACAAATGCCACGTGACACAGGTCCTCAGCTGAAAGATGTTGAAGTACGAGAACCTTCATCTCATTCGGCAGGTTAGAAAAAGGATCTTTTGTCGGAACTGACAACGCCATATTGCTGTGAAATACAAGAAAAACAATTCGAGGGTTGGACGAATGTTATTTCTTGAAGATTCTTTTTACCAATTTATAGAACAAAACGCTCACTGTTTTTAATTCCAGATAGACTTAATGTTTGCCTCAGACGTTTAATACGGGCATGGACACAATGGGTCATCATGGGTTATGTGTACATTTATTATATGAATATTAGTGATCAGTATAATGGTATCATTGGTTGTTTGCCAACATTCTCCGAGTGCTAAGGGTGGACAAATACTTGTTTTAAAGTAGACCCAAATACCGCTATGTCCCCCTTTATGCCCATGTCGTCTATCATTATCATTGTCATAAGTGTTTACCTTTATAAAACACAGTGCACCGATCGTATACGAATATTGTCAACAGAACGAAGTCCGATTAGGCCAAAAAAAAAAAAATACTCGGTCTCTTGTCAGACCAAAGTTCCGGAATTGATGCGGCGACGCGGCTTTTTTTTTCAAGCTTGGATTGTACAGATCAGACAAGGTGGGGTACTATTTTGCTTTTTTTGGTGTCCTCATGTACATTGGTGTCCTCCATAATATGCCTTGGTGCCCTCGATCATTTGCCTTGGTGCGATTTCCCATTCCTTGGTGCTGTTTGGTAAAAAAAAATTGAGGAGGTGCGGCAATAGAGGGCGCTGTTGGAGTTACCGCGGAACATTTTGGAAAAAAAGATTGACGCGCATGATTAAAATCGACGCGCGCGCTGACCAGAGACCGATTTTTTTTGGGGGGGGGGGCCTTATGCTATATGCAACTACATAAAACGCACGCTACGTATCTCAGAGGGTGTTCTTTGTTTAAGTTAAGTTACAACAAAGAATGCACAAACGGTTCGATCATACGTGGCTGTGATACAAACCCTTGCATTCTATGCATTAAAATAGGCGAACAAGTTCAAACCAATCCCAGTTTAAAATTATGGTGACGGTTGTGGTGGCCATTACTGGGATGCTTCCATGCCTGAATGCCTACCTGCATGTATATAGGCGGATCCAGAAAAACACTTTTATTGGCCCCCCCCCCCCCCTAAAAAAAATTTGGTCCCAAAAAAAGTAGGTCCAAAATTACGGCTTGGGGTTTGGGGTCCGCTCAAGGGCCCCGAATTTTTTTTGATTCTAGATGCGCTGTGGTACTGGTGCGATCTGAGGCAATTTCTGACCACTTTAACCAATTTGTTTTTGAGGAAGTGATGGTGGTGTACGCAGTACCGGAACAATAGGAGGTACCCCACAAGGAATGCCCACCGACTTGTGGAATTTCCAAGGTGGGTTGATATGTCGCAAATGGAAGAGTTTTAGAAAAGGGATATTAAGTCCGAATTTCAGCCCAGGACATTAACTCTGGGTAAAATAAGAGCATTTTCACATTAGGGGCCATTCAGAATTTTCAATGTTTTAAAATTTCGATCTTTTTTCCAAATTGTGGGTGGTTGGGTCAAGCTAAATAATTGAAAATCGAAATTTACTTTCCATGGAAAAAGGATAAAAAACAAAGAAAGATAGATCTTTTGACTTGACTGAACAACGCGCAAGCGTTCCGATATCGCGATGCGTGTTTCTTTTCCAACTTGGTCCCCTGTATGTACTGTACATGTACGTCATGTACGTGTATATAGACCCACTGTGGCATGAGAGGGAGGTGGTTTTTCAGTAGACTTGGATGCCGGGCGTTTCTAGCGGTTAGGCCGTGCAGAGGCAGTGTACTAGATCGGCTCTATAACACGCCGCGGGTGTCGATTACCAATCACTATAAAAACTGGACTATTCAACCACTGGACTGCAAGACTACGAGGACCGCAGCCTGTGATGTGATGACTGCCCAAACCTGATATTTTTCTTTCGCTCGTACCCCCGCCCTGCAAACAGGGCAGGGGGTACGAGGGGATGTTTTTCTCAGCTACCTCACGTGACAGGCACAACCTCGTATGTCACATGTCATCCACCTCATCCAGAAATAGCCCCATAAATGTGGCCAATTTACTGGACTGCCTCCGTAAATAAAGGCCACACTGCCACCATATACAAAAACATGTCGAACTTTGTCAAATTTTGATTTTCACATTTAGGCTTAGTTTGTAGTTCATTTTTGCTTTAGAAGCACACTCACCCCCTTTATAGGCTAATTAGAAGGTGCTGACTTTTTCAGATGTAAAATTTCATGTTGAAATTTTGATACGCAAACGTGTGCAAACGAATCTGGAAATTTCACAAAAAGAGACACCTGAAAAAGGCAGCACTTTCTGATTAGCCTATAAAGAGGGTGAGTATGCTTCTAAAGCAAAAATAAACTACAAACTAAGCCTAAATGTGAAAATCAAAATTTGACAAAGTTCGACATGTTTTTGTACATGGTGGCAGTGCAACCTTTATTTACGGAGGCAGTCCAGTAAATTGGCCACATTTATGGGGCTAATCCAGAAAATGACAAAACCACGGTCATCTTTGTGGCTTCCAAGACTGCAACCTGTCTTTCCAAACAGCATATCAGCTGGTAAAACACAAGAAAGCTGAAGGCCACCACTGCAAAAGAGGAAGACCGACAACTTCACGCCGTCACTGAACTAGACACACATGTACATGTACATGGGTACACATGTACATGTACATGGGTATACATGTACATGTTCAAGTATATGTACACACTGTACATGCAAGTGTACATGTACATGTTCAGTTTTTTATTAATCGAAATTAGGGGTGGGTGGGTGGGTCAAAATAATTTGGAAAAAAAGTCGAAATTTTAAAACATTGAAAATTCTGAATGGCCCCTTAGTGTGCGACGTTGCAAAATTTTAGTACGCGAGAAAAAAGGAAGTGCCCCACTTCTATGCCTATGTTAAGCGTGCGTGTGCTAACACAAAATGAATGGACTAAACCGGCCCTTTCTGAATACCACATGCATGAGAGACTTTTCAGTGAATTGGCGTTTTAAATCAATTGAATAGAATGGTGTGCGCTCTAGGACAAGCTTTATTTGACTTGCATTCTCCAATTCCACTTTCCTAGTCCGATTCTTTTTTAATTAATTTGATGAATAGAGCGACGGCCATAATGGGTAGTCGTCATCTGGAGAGATTCTGTGGATTCAAAGCGAGGCTGGTGGGCTTTGGTGTCATCCTCATCATGATCTTCTCGTTCTCATGTAAGTTACATGTATATGAGCCTGCAGGCTCAAGATTTGAAATTGAGGTTTTCTTTAATCTTAAAGTAACTTTTGATTGGGTTTACTCTACGCTGAGGTCATAAGTAACCAACTACAATCGAGAAATAAATATCCCCTTTATCAAAGTAAGATTTGTACTTGAGCGGAATTGAACATTCTATTGGTGTGAGGAGGAAAAAAACATTGTGATTACTGCGTAAGCTAAAGAGTCCAGTAGAAATGAAATGGGCACCGTTCACAAGAACCCCCTTAACGGAAAGAAAGAGAGAGTTAGGGGAGACCACAGGAGGAGATATTTGAACACAGGGCTCTCGAAAGTGGTACAAAAACACGTCCGTCTCTTATTCGCGCGGGAAGCCCATGGTGTTTGACTTAAATGGCATATTAACGCATTCTGTACTTACAAAAAAACCCGCGAATTTTGGTTCCATTCAGCAGTTTCTTTTAGTTCAAATACTACGGCTGTGACATAGCAGATTATTGATTTATGCCCCCAAAAAGTCGGTAAGGTAAAAATAACGGCTTTTATGTATTTGCACAATTCAACATAAGCTTCTTTTTTTTATAATTTTGTGCACAGGTCTGCGCCATAAAAAAGACAACTCTGTAACGATCAGGACAAAAAAGTTTAATGGTAGTGATTGTTCAGGTATGATGCAGTAAAGATTATGTGTACATTTGCAAACATTCAAAAACAAAAATAAAAAAATAATATAGAATTGCCTTACTCAATTGTAAATAAATACAAGGATTAGGCGTCCTGTGACAGTATTGCGCTTGGTGTGCTGCCAATTTGAGGAATAAGGAATTACCATAATGTCCTTGCGATGGTTAGGACCAAACCATTTCATATTTTCCAATACGATAAACCAGGATCGTATCATAAGAGGATCCGATTCGAAACGTATTATTGCACATTTTGGAAGGTAGAGCATCTAACAGAAACCTGGTGTCAAGAAAAATGAAAATGCATTTTCACAGTTTTCTCAAAAAGTTTATTACTGAGCTGAAATTTCGACAGGTTATTTTGTTTTCATAATTTGCGTCACATTTATTGTATTGTTATTCCTGGAATCAGGAACAATACTCGTTTTTTTTTTTGGCAAATGGTGTCCATTACCGTCCAAATCAACATTGACAGACGAATTAGGTGAGAACACAGTAAAATAATTTGCCAAAAAGCTTTTGAACATGCGTTTCCTTTTTAGAGGGCTCGGTAAATGTAGAAACGCTCATCTGTGTCCAATTTAACTGCGCCTTTATGTCCCATCAAACATATTTCTATTGACATTTTCATCTTGCCATTGGCAAGGGAATAATTATTTGTTACCTTTTTGGATTTAATGCTTATTTGTGTTTTGCCACAGTATTGTTATTACTGCATTGAATTGTTTTGCTGTTTGTATTCCCGGTTGTTGTTTTACTGTTGTTATTAGGATTGTTCTTTAAGCTTACCTTTTTTTGTTACCTTGTTTAGTGTTCATGCATACATACATTGCCTACCATTTCTTTCGAATACTTGGCACACCCCTTTTCAGTTCCGTCTGCAGTGACTTCTCTCAGAATTGATGGTTCAGGATCATCAGGACGAATCAATTGGAATCCAGCCAGTTCCTCGTGTGCAGTCATTGATTACTCCCTGCAGTTTCGACTGATCAACCGTGATCAGTGCGATTATCGAAGTAACGAAAACTTCGCAACTGTAGCTACGACGGCGGGTACCAGTTATCTGCTGTCAGTAGCCGTATCGTCACGGCACTTCTACTCCACCTATAATATACGCGTGAGGGCAAGGAACTCAGCCGGTCTAGGAACCTCTAGCAACCAAGTTCAAATCATAACTCCCAAAGCAGGTATCAGACCAACAAAGAATGGCATTTGTAGCTGTTAGAATATGTCTGAATTTGTCGAATAGGCCAATACACAATTTAGAAATAGTTGTTTTGACAAAATAAAAAATAATGTTTTGCAAAATAGTAACTACAGACGTCTGTAGCCTTCAAGGACCACCATTATTGTAACCAAGCAGTAGGCTTGTAAGGATTACCAAAAAAAAACACCCAGAGTTGCAACTACCTCTGCTTACCATCCCGCTAAAGGCCCAATCCCGCCTGCATAGCATACCCATGTGAAATTGGTATTCGTTATGTATTGAGCACATTATAGAACGTATACAACTTTGCTGGTCCATAAAGGGGGCCAATTCGGGCACGCTTTCACTTCTATCACGGAGGCCCCATTCACTGTCGATAGCACTGAGTTAGCTATTTTTCAGACAATCCGTCATGGGGCTGTAGCTTTTCACAGAAGCTGACACAATGCTCGCCATAGAAGGGGGCTCGTGTAGCTACACGCATAGTCCTCTCTGTACTGACTCACACTGACTGTAGCTGTTACTTTTGAAATAGTCTGCTTGTTGGATGTTGAAGAGAGCCGGGCAGTGCTATCGTATAGCAGGAACCGTGGATGATTATCTGAGCAATAGCTTGCACAATGCTTTCGTCGCTGAAGGGGGTCTTCGTTATAGAATTGATAACGTGCCCGGAGTGGTCTATGGGCGAAATTGCTATTAGATGCATGCAAAGACTTTCAGTGAATCAGTTTAATAAAACGTGTGTGCTCTGGGACCAGCTTTACTAGACTTACCTTGTCTTGTTTTAATTGATTGTTTTAGCCCCTAATGCTCCACCTGCGAATATTAGACCCACCGGAATCTACTCCAATCGTGTGAGCTTGTCGTGGGATGAAGTGTCATGTGGAAGCAGACAAGGTGATATTCCTCAATATAAATACGAACTGAGACGCATGTCAGATGGGGATACGGAAATCCAAACCCTGTCAGCCAGATCCGTATCCTTCACAGGGTTACCATCGTGTACCGAGTATCAATTTAAAGTTGCCGCGCGTGGCAGCGCCTCCACTGTACCCGGACCGTACAGTAGTTGGATACAAGTTACAACCACAGCAAAAGGTGAATAGGAACTTAGAATTTGCAGCTTTTCATGTAATGTGAACTTTGCATTCGTTTTACTGCATCCTTATTAGATACAGCGGTGGTACGACTGCGAGCGAGAAGGGTTATATTTTGGTAGTGGGCGAATAAATGCGTACCATGGAAAGGTGGAGTTCAGCCTTATGGGGGGGGGGGGGGTAATCATCAGTCGATCAAGGGAACAGGCTCTTACTCTTGTGTATGTTCGTCACTCGAGGCAAGTGTAAGATGTTTCTTATACTGATGTGATTTGCTTACGCTCTGCGGATGCTGTTGCTGTTGTGCTGCCTAAATTACACCAAACAACTTGAACATCCTGAAATTCCCATGCACGATACTTTTCTTGTCTTTACTCTCCTTAGCTCATGGGCCAGTCAGTAATGTTGATGCAATAGCCTTGACGGACTCCCCTTCTATTCGAGTTACGTGGTCCCCACCGGATACCATCCGGAACCGCTGCCCCCTCCGCTACATCGTCGAGTACAGATTAACCGTCAGAGACCAGTGCCAATCCATCGACCAATCCCAACCATTAGTCGCCGCAAACCAGACGACCGTTTCCACAACGATCACTGGTTTAGACGGATACTCCACCTACGAAGTGTGTGTCAAGACGTGGAACAAAGAAGAATACAGTGTGGAGCGATGTGATACTACAACTACACGCTCTTCTCCAGGTACATGTGGTTAGAGAGGCATCGCGGAAGCTAGCTGCGATAAAGTAAAACAGTGATCACATTTTTTTTGCCTGCCCTTGCGATAAAAGTGCACGCATGCTCAGAATCAATAATAACGTAACAAACGAAAGAGTGTAACATTTTTGTATAAACACATGGTTATATAATTGTTAGAGGCACCACTATACTGAATAAATTAAATAACCAGCAGGTAGTCATCAAAGCATCCAACCCCAGAAAAGGTGATTTCTCATTGTATGCCTACATTAGGCTCACATCGCCTTAAACTCAAAGAACTGCGCTTTTTGATCAACAGGTTGATATTTTACCAATGTTGGCCAATTTTAGGTTTTGTCCATAAATACGATTTCGTTTTCCTGTCACTTTTTTGTATTGTTTTAGCCCCTACAGCTCCTCCATCGCATGCAACATGCACCGGGATCTTCACAAATAGCCTGGACTTCGCCTGGGATGAGGTACCATGTGGTGACAGAGGCGGCCAGATACTAGAATACAATTACAGATTGGTACCTGCGTCGGGTGGTAGCTCACTTACCCAGACAATAACTTCCAGATCTGTAGTTATTAACGAAATCTCCTCCTGCACAGAGTTTAATTTTCAAGTTCAAGCCGTAGGAACGAACGGCGAGGGGCCATACAGCAATGTGATTAGTGTTACTACCGCAGCAAAAGGTGATTCACTCAATGATCATTGTCTACGAATTCATGATATATCATATCAGCCAAACACTATCAGTTTACTGTTGTTTTATTTCATTAGTCTTGTAAAATTGTAGTGTTAGTCATCAAAAATGCTTGTTGCTTTACGATCGTTGCTTCAATGGTAGTCACACAATGTAGTTAGTTAATCCTTCATGCGCGAACTACAGAGGGCGCGCGCTGTGAAGCCTGACAATGGAAACAAAGATTTTACTTCGAAAATGGAAGACTTAGAAAAATGTAAAATGTATTCATCTCGCTGGATTCACGTGGCCTTGCGTTGCATACGTCCCGATGACAGATACACAAAGAGAGAACAGCATATTCTTTGTTGTCCTCGAACGTAACACCTTTTGTTAAAAACGGCCCTTGAACGAAAGTCAGTGTGCTTAAGCTTAGTCTATGGGAGAGCGTTATATTAAAGGAACAAAGGGAAAGACAATGCCCTGTCCTCAAACGTAATGGTAAAATACGACTGCGTGTACTCTCTCGTTAACAATCATTACCGCAAAATGTTTTTACCAAATGGATTTGTAAAGAGTCTATTTTTTTGTCGAATTATCCAGCTCACGGACCTGTTAATGCTCTTGGTGCAACTGCTCTCGCTAGCTCCCCATCTATCCATGTAGCGTGGTCCCTGCCGGATACCAGTCAAAACAATAACTGCGCTTTGTACTTCATCCTCGAGTACGAGTTAATCTCCAGTGACCTCTGCGATCCCATTGCGCATCCCAGACGCATATTTGCCGCTAACCAGACATCAACATCGACAACCATCGCTGGTCTCCAGGCCTACTCTACCTATAAAGTGTACGTAAGGACATGGAACGTAGCGGGTGATGACGGTGAGACGAGACACGTTGTCACGAACACAAACTCTGATAAAGGTAACACACAAAAAACTAAAAATACGATACAAAGAACAGCAAGTTTTTCTCGACGTGTGCCATAAGGGTTTGTACACGAATACTTGAGGACTTGGCTCAGATCCTCTGGTTATTATTATCACAGGGAACCCATTGTTCCAAGTCCTCGAATATAAAGGATAACAACATAACACACACACGGATGGTGTATATGGGGTACTTGCATTGTTCTCTTTTTACCTCTTTCTTTTTTAGAATTACCCTTAGTGGGCACGTCTTACACGAAAACCCGACTTGTGGGGCATCGTTGTTCCTCTTTGTTTAAGTACCCCCACAAGTACCCTCTCGTCAAACACGTCATACACACACAAACAAACAAATAAAATTGCAGAACAGTTTTATTGTCAAATAAATGTTATGAATTATAACACTAAAAATAATTCCTGTTGACTTATTTCATTTCTTTAGCACCATCAGAAGGTCCGACAACTATCAAAGTTACGTTGAGGATGCGGCACAAGATCGCATTCACGTGGGAAGATATACCTTGCGGCTACAGACACGGGCAAATTATAACATACCAGGTGATGTATTCAATACGTCATTACAGCACTCCTCACCGTTGTTGCATGGAAATGTTAACTTTCTATTTTACTTCAATCAATCGATTTTTCGAAATGACAAATCCTGAAAGCACTGTCAAACTGTTTGATTTCGAAATCAGGTTTTATCCTTTCGAACTATGCGTAAACGTCCATATAGTTTTTACTCACTGCACAATGTGTAAAAAGAAACTCCTCTTGAACCACGAACAAACTCAAGGATGCAACAAAAGCCAAATTTGCTGTATGTGGTGTGCAAGGATTTATATTCCAACACAGTTTTCTGTATTTAAAGCTTAAGAATGCATTAAATACATCGATTTTTCATTATTGTATTTCAAATTCAATTTTAGATAAGGCTCAGGGTACTGCAAAGGCCATACAAACTCGGTTTCACACCCGATACCACTTACAAGCAAGTCACCGTACTAGCATCCTCCAAGCTGTACAGCACAAGTGTTCTAGAACCATCAACAAAATACGAATTTCTGGTAGCTGGTGTGAACAATCATGGAGTTGGGACGATGGCAAAGATCGAAGCTTTCACATCGGTTGAAACAGGTGTGTCACGCCCTTCCCTGACGTGATTTCATACCAACTGCATACCCTATGCTGCCTTAAGGGTCATGAGTAAAAACAAACACAAGCTTACTTGGGAGGGACTCGAACCCATCCATACTCCTGCTTACTAGTGCAGACAGCAGTGTTTAGTAAACTACGTCGGTTAAAGTCCGAAAAGTTCATCATACAAATAGTTACCTATATACAATTTGTTTTCGTATTTACCGAATCATTCTCAAATGAAATCAACAAAGATTAATTGTGCGCTGTTAACATTTTCCTCAAAAGCCACATTATAATATAAAAAGTATACCATGAGAATGTACAATTTACTCCACTTTTTGTTTTACCGATAATAAGTATTTGTATTGTGTCGTGGCTATGTACAGAAATGGACACCCCTCCCCCGCCAAATACTGATCCCTCAAAGTCAACCAATTCTACAGTTACAATTAATGTGGATCTACCACGCACATCTCAGTACGTAACGTAAGTATACCCTGGAAAGAGTACACTTTATAATTATTGGTATAATTCCTGAGACATTTTTGTGGCTTTCATCAATTTGTGCCATATTTTCAATGGGGAGCGCTGATAAAATCCTACAATCAGGCACACTATATTAACGGAAAGTGTACAAATGCAACCTTCTCACGACTATTTATTTAGGGGGAGACCGTTTGCATGTACGTCACATTCTTACACTTTGCTAGTGCATTCTTTTTTAATGGATTTTTTCATTCTTTTTTTGGGGGGGGCTAGACTAATATTTTTTTATGGAGGGGGGGGGGGGGCCGTAAAACCGCCACTGACTTACCTGCCATGGTAACTGGTTTCAACTGGTTCATGTTGACTACAATGAATAGTTCAGAAATGGTTTGTTCAACTGGCTTTTAATAGTTTAAAACTACTTGAATTTACACATTTATACCGGTTGAATCAAACATATACCAGTAGGAGCCACCAACCACTGTTGCAAGCAGTTGACATGGGCAGAACATCGGTTTCAAGTGGAATTTTGAATTCTTTCGCAGCCTTTACCCAAAACGCCGTCGATGACGATGTTACACCTACTTGAAGTTTGAGCTCTCACTATCTTGCGAAAAAATTGCATGTCTCCTACAAAACGACATTTTGTTCATTGCATTTCTATAATACAAAAAAGGGGGGCAACAATGGTGATGTTGTATTAGTAAGGTGCCTTTATGGTGATGTTGTATTAGTAAGGTGCCTTTATGGTGATGTTGTATTAGTGAGGTGCCTTTATGGTGATGTTGTATTAGTGAGGTGCCTTTAAAAAATCATTCACCTGAAATATGCAAATCGGCCATCTTGGAGGCTGTTTTTTTTTGCTGATCGATCTTATTATAATCTACTAGACTCCGATTCACAAATCGCCGTATCATTATAAACCCTTTATTACCTTTGCGTTTCGGTTTTGTGTAGAGGCATCCAAATTGGCGTGAAACAAGTGCATTCAAATATCGAGGCAGACACCACACCATCTAAGAACGACTTCGTGCCGGACTATGTAGCAGGGGAATTGATGAAAGAGAACCTTACTGAAACGTTCACCGTGGGTGACGGGAACACGTACGGTACATTCTACAACCGGCCCTTACAGCCTAACACCAAGTATGACATTTATCTGGGGTCAGTCAGCAGGATTTCAGATATGGTGAGGAGAATGAAATTAACATGTAATACGTAGTGGGAGGGGGTTATGTGGCCTCAGGTTAAAGATTGTGACTCATGATCAGTACGGTGGGCAAGGAGCTCAAATCGAGCTGATGACCACGTGTTGTGTCCTTGGGGAAGCCACTTTACACCCACCTGCTTTTCTCTTACCAGAAGTATACGGTATCAGTTGGGGAGTTGCACCTGCGATAGACCGGCATCCCATCCATCTGGGAATATAATATCATCAGTCGTTCCATGTCAAGGAAACAGGAGATAGACATCGCATGATTAAGTTAAATTGACTTTACACAGGATGAAAAAAAATTACATTAAGGGTATTCAAGAAATCAACATCTTCTTTCGTGTCTATTGTTTGAACTTTCACAGGAGTTTGCAGTTACGTGGGGAGATCCAGTGAGGGTGAAAGGTAAATACGTTGACATATTAATATTATGGTATAAATTGAACCGTTCAACCAAATGACATACGTTTTTGCCGGTTATTGCAAGATTGGTATCTATTGGCGAGTTTGTCAACACTCCGCCTTAATCGTACACAATGCATGCATACCAAAGAAAGAAAATTGGAATACAGATCACAAGCATATTGATTCAACCATAGGTTAACCTAATTGTTGTCAATAATAAAACTGAGCAATGCAGAAAAACCACACATTTTCGCCCTGAAACGGCCTTTCTATTTTGATAGTAGTCTCGGTCTAAGACTGGACTTGGATTGCATTCCATCAATCAAACGGGCCCGGACAAGCGCGCGCCTTTGTGGCAGTTGATGTCGCTACAGTAACAAGATGATTTTAATCCACTCTTGGCAACTTTGGCAACGCTACCTAGGAAATGCAAAGCAAACCTCACATACTCACATTTGCATAAATTGATGGCGCTTGCAAGGAGTCAAGACCGGCTGCATTAGAGGAATAATATCATCTCCCGTCTTGGACTAAGACTATTTTGATGGCAGCAGATGCATTAAGCTCTTTCAATCGACACCTGCTAATGAGGGTTTTCTATGTCATTTTGTCAGTGAGGGATGACTATGTTTTCCCAGTCACTGCCGTGCTGGTTCCCGTGCTGATTGTCATTCTCCTGGGAGTCGCAGTCCCTGGAGCTATCTTCATGAGGTTAGATTTACAAAGATATAAGCCCATGTCAAGATGGAGTCAATACATTTCAAGATGTTGTTGCAGTTATAGTCATTCGTATTATTGGTGTCATTGCTGTGTCATTGCCGTTTTTCCAGTTCTGTTTCTGCTTCTGTTGGTGCCATTTTCATGTCAATCTACAGCAAAACGTCTAATTTCATCTATGTTATGCGTCTCTGTTTTATATTTATGTCATGATGCCAGAAAGAGGCTTAAGAAGACACCAGAGGACGATGCTCGATTTGTTGCAGTCAGTGGTGAGAAACGTTTTCTTTTCCCTAGATTCCATAGTATTAATATTAAAGAATATTCATCTGCTGAAACATCTGTTTGTTTTGTTTTTAAGATGACATCCAGCTTCAAGATGTCCCAACACGACAAGCCAACTCGAATCCCTACCACAGGGACATCAGAGAAGAACCCGCGTACGAACCCGTGGGAAACCGCTTTGGTTCTCAGTCTCAGAATCTGTCTGCTGATGATCGAGCGGGAAAGCTCCTAGGACAGGAGAAGACACCGACGCCTACCAAGGCGAAGATGGTGGCACCTACAAGAGACGGTCGCTGCGAATATCCATATGAGGTGGGTTATTGGAATATTAAAAGGGGCAATTAATGCAGAGAAATGGGGATGAGGAATGAACGAAGATCCGTGGTTTAGTTTCAACTGAATTCAATATGTTGGGCAAGTTCATAGTAATTTACTAGCAAGTTTGGGGTCATGTTAGACTTTAACGGTACATTCGACACATGATATCCGTACCGGCTAAATGAACAAGGAGGTATAATGTTAATTAAAAGAGGTAATGCAGGCCAGCATTTCTATAGAAATGGCGCTAGAATTGAGATGAGAACATTTAATTATAACATTAAGAACTATCAAACTACAGTGCTTTTTTCATAATATGATATTTGATATGAAATCGAATCACAAAAGACCCCGTCACGTTTTGGCAACAAACATAAAAACTATTAAATATGTTTTTCGAGCAGAAAACAAGTTAATGAAAGTCTCTCGCGACAGAGGATGTAAATCAGGCCTACCTATATAATCATGAATAGCTGTCATATTAAATCAATATCAATTCAGTCTTATTCTTTTTTCATTCTTAGAACATGCCAGCTGTTTTTCTTGACGAAGTTACAGTAGACTCCAAGGAGAAGAAGATTGCTGACAAAAATATCACCTGTTGTAAGATGTTTTTTCCTTTTTTTGTTGTTTTCTATTAAGATTTCCAGCACTTAACGTACGGCGTGAAAGCAGGAATTGTAGAAATAAAATAATCTCCGATTGCACCATGTGATTTGGTAGTATACCATATATATTTATACCTTTTTGATACCGTGACCTTTCATTACAGGAGTTTTGAGACTTCAAAACTCGATATATTTTTTAAGATTAAAGATTCTATGTATTCGATGTATAGTAAATCATCATTGATTGAGTACAAACACAAATTCGTTACAGGCGCGTATAGGACTCATGGTAATAACCAGAAAAAAGAAATTGCCGATTCAATGAGAAAAACCTTGCCTAAAGTGAAGAATAGACTGAAACCAACTTCCCTGTAAAACTATTTCGCCTGAAATGGTATCGTACGAAACAAAACGGTCATTGAAGGTGTTTCTAAAGTGTGCCCGTGGGCACATCATGCCGTGAATCCTCTTTTAAAAGAAAACCCGACGAGGGGCCTTATATTCGAGTGTTTCATCAAGACTGTACCAGGGCTTGGGATCTCTCTTATCTCAAAATTTGTATCTCCTAAGCACCAGATGAATGCCTTCCACCAGGAGGGAACAATTAGTATTGCTTGACTTAATGACTTGTTTGGCATACCTGAATCACTTAATTTTTTTCGGGTAATGAAACCATGTTTTCTTTCTTTGATCATTGAAATTGATGCACAAACAACCAAAATAATGGCATTTTTCGCCTGTGCATGTATGTATAAACATGTGAGGGGTTTCCAAAAGGTAGACCCAGCGAGAAGTAAACTGTACTGTTTGTGGACTGGCCTCATGTGGTGTAACTCAGGCGCGGTTCTAGAACCAATATTTTTGGGGGGCTAGCAGGGTGGATCCGGAATTTTTTTCAGGGAGGCGTACTAATGTAGACCGGTTATTTTCTCCAGACACTTAGGCCTCCGAAAATGAATAGGTGGGGGGGAGGGGGGAGGGGGAGGGGGAGGGGGGAGGGGGGAGGGGGAGGGGGGAGGGGAGGGGGGAGGGGGAGGGGGAGGGGGAGGGGGAGGGGGAGGGGGAGGGGGGGGGGGGGGCTCATGCCATATTTTCAATGGGGAGCGCCAATAAAATCCTAAAATCATTAACACTATATTAACTACAAATGCACCCTTGTCACGACTATTTCTTTAGGGGGAGACCGTTCGCATGAACATCGCAATCCTTCTTTTTCTAATGTAATTACTTTTTACGGAATTTATTTTGGAGGGCTAGACAAAAATTGTTTGGGGGGGGGGCTTAAGCCCCCCCCCCCCCCCTTAGCCCCCCTTAGAACCGCGCCTGGTGTAAATGATTGCCTTAAGGGATTAACCTGATAATGTAACACTGGGCTCACTCAGACATCGAAAGCCTGGTAGGGCCCAAGGGAAATTCACCTCATCGTTGTATTAATTTGACGATATTTGTAACATTGGCTTGCGAAGATTACCCACCCAGTGTAACCAATGATATACTTCTGGAGAGTGACAGCGCAGTGTGATCATTTTGTTATTTTTTTTCCAACAATGCAGACGGAGCCGAGTTGAAAAGTAACCGCCCCCAAAAGGGAGCGATTATCTACGACACACCTAGGTTCGCTGCATGTTCCAAGCCCAAGCCCCCACCAAGAACCACGAAGCCAGTTATTACAAAATCCATCCAGTCTGCGATCACACGTGGAGCCTCTGATGCTATACCTGTGGACAGGTTTGAGGACTACGTCCGCGCGAAGAAATCAACGTCTTTTAAGAATGGTAATGGCTTCCTAGAGGATTATGAGGTGAGTTAATGCTGGGTTAAATTATGCGGAAAATATCTCTAAAAATGTGTTAATTTCGTGAATTTGAATTACTTTGTCTGAACCTCTGGTTTTTCAGAAAATGCCTACTCCAGTCAAGCATCCGTGGTCTGTGGCGAAGAAACATGCGAACAGAGAGAAAAATCGCTATGCAAACATACTCCCATGTAAGTGGAATTATAGCCCCTTATTACATTGAGATAACCGTAGATGGTCATGTAATGCACCTAACTGTACTTTAGAAACTGAAAAGAAGCCCAAATAACCAACAACATTTACCCAATATTTACACCGTATTCAAATTTTTAGAGTCACCTGCAAACTGAGTTTTTCACAATAGTACATAGGCCTTATGGGATAAAGAATTCAAAACACTATTTTTTAGACAATAAATACACGGTAACTACAGACAGGTCACAGGAACTCATTGTGTACTAATAATCTAGAGAATTAATTTAGGATGAATATGAATCTGTCATTTCCTCTTTTTTCCATTGCTTAATTGTAGATGACGAGACTCGAGTTGTGCTGGAAACAGTAGCTGATGACCCCAACTCAGACTACGTGAATGCTAGTTACATTGACGTAAGTGGCCCGTACGATACCCCAAAAGATGCCTTATTTTTATCACAAGTTAAGTTTCAATTTGGGCCTTTATTCCATCTGTAGGAACCAATATTGAATTGTCAAGGTCAGACAGATTTCCTAGACCTCATCTCCATCTGCATTTACGGTGAATAAAGGAAGACTTATTCATACCATGTGACCGGTTCAGGTTCCACCTGCACTTCGGGTCAGATTGAGCTGACACTATTCTTGGTTAATGACGTTCATCCAATGAGACATACATGCATTCGTGAGGGTCCCAGATCAGATTTCACCTGAAATTCGGGTCAGATTGACCTGACTATATACTCTTGGTCAATGACGTTCATTCCATGTGCCATGCATGTACTCGTAAAGGTCCCGGGTCAGATTTCACCTGCAATCCAGGTCAGATTTGACTTGACAGTATACTTAGTCAATGATGTTCATCCCATGTGCTACATATACTCGTAAAGGTCCCAGATCAGATTCCACCTGCAAGCTAGGTCAGGTTGACCTGACACTTTACTGGGTCCAAATGACAAGACAGAATGTGGTGTAGAAATAACAAATAAAGGAAATTGGCGATTTTGTTTCAAATTGTTATGTAACTGGTTCGTATCACATCCTTCGTTCGTACCTCTCGTCCTATCCATGGGTCCCTCTCAGTTAGCCTTTTGGAGATACAGTTGACACAATATGAGGACGCTATCATAATCTCTTTTCAAGGAACCCAAATCTATAGACTCCAAAGACTGCCTGCTGTTGTGTTCACCAAGTCTAAAAAAAGAGCTGTTTAGAGTGATATTAAAACAACTGGAGGATTGTTAAACATTATCTCTGTAATGAGACTATTAAGTATGAGGTAATCATGTCGACCATAAATTCGAGTGATTTTATTTCCTTTTGTGAGTATGTGTGGTTCTTTTCAGAACAACACATACTCACAAAAGAGATGTATTCACATGGTGCTACCGCAAACTTATCTTGTCTTGATTTTATTTCCATTTGTCTTTCTAGGGTGTCAATGAGCCAAGGAAATACATTGCAAGTCAAGGTGCGTACAATCGTGGACTTCAAACCTGAGGGTTATGGTGTATATCATCTCTTTCATACTGTTTTTCCAAATTTGTGACCCGGGTTTGCCACTTAGCACTTAGCCGGTGAAGCCAAAATGGAGACCACGCCGGGTTTTGGAAAATTCTGGTAACCGTCGTCAGATTCAAAAGAATACATGACGCAGCAAAACTCGCCCCTCGTACTTGATGCACAACATCGTCATTGAATTTCAAGTTTTCTAAACGCAAGTACTTGATATTTTTTTACGAACTCAGTTTTTAGATTTGTATAAGCAAGGTGGGTAAATAAAACCAATGTACAATGTACTTGGAAATACGTGGGCTCTATCCGAGATTGTCGACGAAATACATTCGGCAAACTTCGGCATTTTTGGAAATGGGAGGCATTCCTCCTGTTTTAGTCACATGCCGTAGATCTATTTTGTATAGATACTAGCGGCTACCTGGCCTAAGATACATCAGGAATAGTTAGAATCTTTTGGTCTGGGAACCAGAATAAAAACCGTCTTGTGTACCGAACTTATAGAATTCCCTAGCATTTTGCATGGGAAAGGAAACGACGGTAGCATTAGTTATCCAAAAAAATAGTTACCACTATTGTGTTATGCATTGATGCACTGGCAGTTGTAGCATCTCATATAAACGTTACACAATCATTTTCCTCAACCCAGCGTAGATTTTCAGGGGACTGAAAACATATCCCATCAAATTAATTGGCACTGGTATAAAGTGTATACCGACACATTCATTTTTGGTGACCTTTTAAGTCTGTCATTAAGCCTACATTAAAGGTTTCAGAAAAGTAAAATGTCTTTGTGTCACGTTTAAGGTCCTACCAAGGCATCCGTAGCTGACATGTGGCGCTTGGTTTGGCAAGAGAACGCATCCAAGATCGTCATGTTGACCAACCTACGGGAGGGCGTCAAGGTAACGTCACACTTGCTACTTGTAACTGATGTTTTTCTCCTATGCCTATTCCTTCTTGTATATGAGGACTCAGTTTGTGGTACTTTTGTTAAGAGTACTATTATTTCCTTTTTTTTTAAATTGAAGTTGAAACTGTGATCATGCTGCATACTTATTTATGTATTGTGTTTTGATTGATAATGGGACGCAATCAAAAAAAAAAATCCCGCCATTTGCGCTTTAGTCCGTAAGTCTGACGAAATCTGTGTGGAGAAAACACAATGCAGTGTTTTAAAGCATGCGTGTTTAAAAGCAAGAAACCTTCAGAAAGATATTCTTGAGAATCTCTTTAGACTCAGGTAGGGACTGAAAACCAGTCCCCACTTAAGATTAGGCAGGTTCGAACCCGGGCCACAGAGAAGGAAGGAGAGAAAAGAGAAGCTCACTGTTTTATGATAAAGAAACTTTTGTAACATAAAAACAGTTTTCTCTCATTGCGTTGTGGCTTTTGTTACCAGGACAAATGTGAGAAATATTGGCCCGATGATATAACTACCTATGGTAACATCACAGTCAGACTGATGAGCGAGACGACACATGCTGATTACGTTATAAGAGATTTCACACTCGCAATTGAGTCGAAGGTAATCAAAGACCATTCTCTAAGGCGGTGTCAGGATTTTGTCATAATTGTATTGTACAGCACTCACACGAGGTGGTCTTTAATCAGTGTGGGCGAGACCACGTAATCGAAGACCAAGTCTGAGCCCGAGTTAAAGGGAATGTACATTATTGACTATTGCTGTAATTTTCAGAAATGAACTATTTGAGGGGTTATATAATAGATATTAGTAGCCGGTCACTCACTTGACAAGCGCAGTAAGTCAAAACTTAAAAAAGAAAAAAAAATCTGTCAAATTTGATATGGCTATGTGGCCATCACGTGTCAATGATTCACTTTGTTTGGATATACTGTTCTCAGAAACAACTCAAGAAGGTTGTACAGTTCCACTTGACAGCATGGCCCGCTGAAGGTTTGCCAGAAGACACTAGCAAAGTGATCAACTTCATCAAAACCGTCAAGCAGTTCAAGTCTGAGATGAATGGAACAATGGTGGTCCATTGCAGGTACTTCTTCTGATTCAAACTCACTCTATGGATGCCCCCGTTTAATGGCAAAAGCATGTGTCAAGCTAATTGTCGGTTGAAAAAAACTGACGACCCGGTTATTTTATTTTATTTTTATATTGGAATCCATTAGAATTCAGACAAATCGTAGGCAAGACGAGTATTATGAAGTACGCGAAAAAGAAATACTTAAGAAATTCTTATTTGGGGTGGGGTGGTGTGGGGCTATACAGCTTTGTGGGGGAGGGGGATGAGCTATGGATGTCTGTAGCCTCTTCTAGCTGTAATCACCCCTGTTTTGAAAGAGTTTTGATTTGATATCGAATGATATTCTGTCTTGACAGTACTGGAACCAGTCGAACAGGATTGTTCATTACTCTGGACGCCATGCTACACCAGGCTAAGACAGAAGGCAGAATGTGTATCGGGAACTTTACACGCAATATGATAGGCATGAGGATGGGAATGATACAATCTGCTGTAAGTATACATGTTCAATAGGGGAAACAAAATATATAATTAGGGGCAAAATAAGGCCACTCGTGAAAAAATGGCAACCGTGAAAAATAGAGCACTCGTGAATAACGGCACCCGTGAAGAAGTAGACAGTCACGAGTGCCTTTTTTCCCGAGCGACCTTTTTTTTTGATGTGGCGTGAACAACGGCAATTGTGCCACCGTGCAAAGCGCCATTTATTTTCCGATGATGCTCAAGAACGTCCGCTTTGAACAGCGCCCCCATAGACAGATGGTGTACAACCTCTAATCCCCACCCCCTTTTTGGTTTTACGGACGCCGGGTGACCGGTGGAAAAAAACCTGTCTACCTTTCCGCGCGGATGAGGTAAATGCCCTTGTGCACGTCTACCTCCATCAAAATGACCTTGCTACGCCACTGGCTTTGTATCATGAAAAGCGCCCCCTAAAGTCGGATGATGACCCCACTCTCCTAAAATTTAAAATCGTTCTCGTTTTCCTTTTTCAAAATGAGAATTTTAAAGTTTAAAATAAAAGGGCAAGTTAAAGATATATACAGAAACCCACGTTCTAATTATGACAATACGCCCAGAAGTGCCGTCATGTGTCAGACAAATTGGCCACCAAATAATGTTAGTGAAGAAATACCATTTCAAGGCATGAATACATATGTTTTGAAAATTTAAATTTATATTCATATGTTGCACGGGAATGTAAATAACGTAATTGGGATTACGTTTTTATTTACATTTACATACTTGCATTCCTGCAGACCCACTATGAATTCATCTTTGATACCCTGTTGGAGGCATTCAAGCGTGATGATACAACCATCTAGTCGACTCACCATAAGCAATGTAAGCGGAGGGCAACTCCCTGCTCCTTAGACCCTCGTGGATTTTGATCCCTGATTCTAAGTACGTGAATATACGTGCATAGCTTCAATCGCCACCTAGCGGTTACCGTTTAGACTCTACTGACTTAGTGTGAAAAAGGGAAAGTAAAAGCATGGTTTCAACAAATTCGTATGTAGAAAAAATACTAAAGTAAAAATTTTCAGTTTTGAAAGAAAACGAAAACAAGTTTAAGAAATCTGTTATTGCACTGCGATAAATCTTTAGTTGCGCGAGAGTGCCCATCATTGCTTTTTAACTAAACAAGCAGCCTAAAGCTAGCATGCAACTCAGAATTAAAGTAAAATGGTACCTTGACATTTACTCGGAATGGTTTGAAAGTGTAGGTTAAAAAAAACAAGTTTGTAAATTTAAGTAGAGCTTCATGGTTGAAATATTTACCCCGAAACAAACACGAAACATTCTTAACAGTTTCGCTTCGTGGTTAATTTGTTATAAATAATCGCATCTTCTTTGAGTGAGACCTGATTGCTGGATTTCCAGAAGAGCTTACGTTGCCAGCATTCTGCCTTGGGGCACATTGCGGGTATATAGCTTCTTACTAGGGCTGGATAGCTCAATTGGTAGAGCGCCGGGACGCATTTTTCCCAAACGACATCCGTATGGGGTGTACGCTATGACGCTTGGTATTTACTTATTAAGTGTGAGAAGAAAATAAAAGCAAACATGAATTCGAACTTAATAAAATTTGGATTTTATTTCCCTGTTTAAAAAAATCCTCGAAAGCCTGAAATTAGAAAAGAAAAAAATATTCGGGTAAAAATTATGATTTGAACCCATCCCTCGCGGTACAAAATAACGATCCTTTCCAACTGATCAATCGAACTGCAAATCCAGAAAATTCATGGTAATATATACCTGCGAACATATCATAAAAAGAAATTGGGAACAAATAATTCGCCGCCCAGACGGTATTCCGGAGCTCGAATGGTAGATACAACTTTTGCTCGAGTCAATTTCTGACATCACAAATTTGCTCATTTCACACAACATTTCGTCAGACGCTCAACGTCTGAACCGCATTGAAAATGTTGCATTGAAGTACACAGTTTAATAGGCCATATCTTGTTTAGTTTAACATGTATTGCTGTAAATTAATTTTTCTGTGCCGATAACGAATAAGTATACATTTATCCAACGATATTTGTTTTTTTATCGGAATATTCTCCAAATTATATTGCACTCAATAAGACATAATAATGTTCACTTGTTCAGTTCAAATATGCAAGATATAAGGACATTTTTAGGATTTACAAGGTCTAGCATGCTTTGGTATGATATTTTGAAAATTTGTCTAAACCTTAAAGTCATATATAGTATTATAACCAAGAGCTTTTCGGAATTGCTTAGTGTGCAGTGCACGGTGTTGCTGTGATAGTCACGAGTTGTAAGCAGAGTTTATAAATGAGACAATTTGTTCTTATAAAAGAAATACTAGAAATGGTCGCGACATATATCGTGTGCTAGAAACTTGAGCCTGTTGTCTTGCAGATATTGGTGTGATTTTTCTTATTAAGTTACGGCAAAGATATATCGGTTGTCGAAGATCATTTGGTAATAAAGTCTCAACTTTGTTGAAAATTGTCTTATATTGTCATAATTTCCACGTATTTTGCTTAAAGAAAATAGTTGCATAATGAAACAGGTTCATAATAGCAAACAAATTGTACTGTTTAATTGAAGACAACGTTTATGTCTGAGTAATAATGGATTAAACAAGATTATGTTCAAAACAACGTTGACACTTCCCGGTACAACCTGTGCAATATTGTTCAACAGCTAGCGATGCAAACGATAATGCAAAGCGACACTTTTGGCAATGGTGATTTTAACACTAGAATGGGTTTTCTGAAAGTATAATCAATAAAACGATTAAGTGCCCACTAAAAGAGATAAACTGGTTTTGAAGCCACAATGAGTAAAAACTATGCTGCTTCTTATTCCACCTCTGGTTTTTATTTTTTACAAGCAATACACCTTCTTCTGGGTTGTCTGCATAACTGGATTAGCCTAAAATATAATTTGTGAGCTAAGTGGAGTTGAATTTGAGCACAAAGGGTTTGATGGCAACACGCTATTGACCTTTTTACTAAATAATTCACACATTTTGCATTAATGCGCATCAATGGGCCTGCCGGCAAGAAACGAAAGTGGTCCATTGAAAATGTACAAGGGTCCAAATATTCGGGTCATTTCTCTCAAGTTGTCTAGGATTTATCGCTTATTATTAAGAAAAGTCCTTACAATTTTCATAGGCATTACTTTCTTGGGTAAGTGGGTATGTTGGGGCACAAAATAAAAACTTTGGTGGACGGGTACACTGAAGTACGGAAGCTTGAATTGCCCTCCGAGATACCGCGTTACCGCGATAATTTATCGCAGAAATCCGGAAATCAAAGATAATTCCTTCCGCGATACCGCGTTACCGCGATAATTTATCACAGAAATCCGGAATTCAAAGATAATTCCTTCCTTGATACCGCGTTACCGCGATAATCATCACAGAAATCCAGTATCGCGGAAGGAATTATCTTTGAATTCCGGATTTCTGCGATAAATTATCGCGGTAACGCGGTATCGCGGAAGGCAATTCAAGCTTCCGTACTGAAGCACACGGTTATTTTTTTTTCAGTCGTGCGGAAAGGAGCCCTGCTGATTTCCTTTGCTCTCGTGCGCACGGCCACGGGACGAAAGCAATGTTTAACGTCTTAATGCTACGACATTTTGTTCAAACGGTGTTTCCAATTGTTTCTTCAAATCCATTTACACTAACGTGTGATATTCTCTGTTGAAAATCAGGCAGTGCACTCCTCCCCTTGCCCTGCGTCGCCATAGTGCGACAGTCTCCTGCAGATGGATGGAGCATACCATTCGAATAGCTGTTTCAGAAGCACACGAGATATCTGAACATATTTCGTGTGTATTAACTGCAAATTTCGTGACTTTCACTCTATAGCAGGTCCTAAATGAAAACACCACTCAGTGACAACTCATCAACGTCGAGCCATCTCGGCATCCACGCTGTTACTGCCGCCGTGCTCGTCCAAACAAGTGCAGAAAACCACCCTCAAACCCTTCCGGAATTTCTTGTACTTCAGCTCGTAGATGATGGGGTTAACCACCGAGTTAAGGTATATCAGGAAACTGGTTATGCCACTGATGTACTTGAAACTCTCTGAACCACAGAAATTAAGTATGCTGTCGCTTGTCGGATACAAGCATAAAATAACGGAGACATTATCCGGTGTCCAGAGAATTATGAGAGCCCCCAGGACTATCGTAAGCATGCTGATGACACGCTGTCTAGCAATCACGAGATCAACCGCTGCTGCCCTCGCGCGTTGTAGGTTCAGAGCTTGTGCTTGTCTTTTGAGAGTAACCTGCATTTTGTAGTACGCCCAACTCATCATTATGACGGGCATAATGTAGGTGAATGAAACCAATACCACACTAAGCAAAATGGGGAATGCTTGATTGAGGTACTCGATGTCAGAACAGGCTTTGTCGAGATCATCGCTGGCTTTGATTGTGAATAGAAAAGGCAGAGCCAACAGGACAGAAAGCATCCAGAGCAGAGTCACGAGTGTCTTCATCCTTGTAGCTGTGACTTTCCTGGCATATTTGAGTGGATGTACGATGGCTATGTATCTTTCCAGCGTCACCACGCACAGGTTGTAAGCGGACGCGTTGAAAAACACCCAGATCAGTGACTGGGACGCCACAAGCCGGCAGTACAGTTCCCTCCCAAGAGAGCTTGATGGAACCATGTTGATGAGAGTACACCTGCTAGACGCAAAAAGGTAATGGAAAAAGGTGCAGAGACATAGCAGCATATCGGCCACAGCTAAATTCACCAGGAGATAGTTAGTCATGGTGTGGAGAAACCTGACGCGCAGAATGACGAAGCAAACCAAGAGGTTTCCTAGGAAACCAAAGACTCCTTCTGCTGCAATGATCTGGCAAACCCAAACATCTGTTTGCGCTTCTTCGAGACTTATCAACGAAGTGGCATTTTTCATTGACATTGTGTGTTGTTGTTTGTGCGTGTGATTTATAACATCAGTTCAAAAGCAAGGTTGTCAGCGGATAGAACTAACGCAATGTTCTTGTGATCCAGTAAATCAACAGTTAGATGCTGGGGTCCTCCTGTGCAAGAAATATGGCTAGACATGTTTTTTAAAAACGACAAAACCCTGACCATCTGCTTACAAAATCACAATGTCCACTTACTATCTGTCATTTCGTTCGCTGTTTGTCGGTGCGATGGGCGTATGCGCGCTGGGTGGATCATGCCATTATGACTGTTCGCTCTATGGTTATACCGGGCGCCTTGCCCTTGGATTCATACCATAGTTGCAGATACGTTAATTCGTAACTCAATTCCAAATATGGCGTCTCAAAGAAATGTTGGAAAATGGTGTCCGCAGTCCTCAACAGATGGCAGAAATATCCGTCATGTTACATCAGTCAGACGTTGCCAGCTGCTGTCGAAGAAATCACTTTCCAGTTTATCAATGTATGTTTTGAGAAGTGTGCGCCTAAAAGCAGATAGTTCGTTGACTTATTTTGTCTCCCGATAGTTCTTTCTTATAACAATTAGATAAGAAGGTTATTCCCGGTGTTTAAGCCCTGCACCGTTGTCCAGTCGTTGTACCTCAGTGCAACCACAAGTACCATACGCACTATTCAATATTTTAATTAGAAGATGCAATAGTTAATAATTACCCCTTTCCTCAATAGAGGTGACGCGATGATAAAACGAAGCTTTTAAAGATGCTCGAGATCTGCTCCTGGCAGCGAAGATTTGCCATCAGTGTGCTTTGTTTAATATGGAAGAGTAAACCTCACCCATTTCTTATGTCTGATACCTTGCTCTTAATGAAGAGGGGAAGAGGAAACGGATGAAATATGTTCCTGCCCTGCA